GAGCCCTCGCCTGCCTCCCGCAATACTCGCGCGCTGCGTTTAGGTTTTGGGGGGTGGGGCGGTGTGGTGTGGGGGGTCGGTGGTACAGAGAGGGGAGGGAGAAAGGGCAGCGAGGCACACAAACCTATCCTCCTTAGGCGAATTAAATATTCAGAGTGCAAGCTGAGGGTGCATATTGATGTGGGGTGATACAAAGCGCGGGCGGGGAAGTGCCGCAGCCGCTTCCACCACCACCACCACCACCACCACCACCACCCGCTGCCCGCGCTCTTCCCTGCTGCGGCCGCGCTGCACGGGGCGGGCGCTGCTGTGGCGGCGGCCGGTTGAGTGATGGCGGTACAAAAGGCCCGCGCGGACGGCCGCAGCGGGGCGGGGCGGGGCGGGGCTCGTGTCCGCGCCGCCGCGCCATGGTCCGCGGCGTCGGCAGCCCCCCGCGGAGGCAGCGGCAGCAGCGTGTTTTGATTCTCGGATCTCATCTCTCTCCGTGCCACTCCCCGCTCTCCGCTCCCCTGCGAGTCTCGGCGAGCGTCGGCGCTTGAAGGAAACGACGACTCGTATATATATATAGGAAAAGCGCGGGGGTGGTGTTCGGCGTGGCGTGCCAGGGCGGGGTTGGGCGGGGGCGGGCGGGGTACAGCTATGGATTCGCCGCCCGCGGAGATTTCCATATCAGCCGTCGCCCCCGCGCCGCTCATCCTGGACAAGTCACTCTCCACTCTCCTTGATTCGCCTCCTGGTCGTAATTCACGAGCCTTTTTTTGCGGCCTAGAGCGAGAAAAGAGAAAGTTTGCCGAGCCGGTTGCCGCCCGCCATGGTGCGCGGGGTAAATATACTCCATTCACTCCAAGGACCATTAAGTAGATGAACTACGCATTCGGTAGTTTCTGCGCGCATTTACAACCGGGCATGTCAACCCGCCGCTGACAGGTTGGGCACCGCTTCGGCACTCCTCGGCTGTGCTCGGGGCGAGTTCGGGTCCTGGCTCGAGCCGAGCGAGCAGTGGCGGGGCGCTGCGGCCGGGTGCAGCCCGGGCGGGCTGGAGGTGGGCACCAGCGGGGCCTCGCTCGCTCGGCTCGAGGTGGGTCCCGAACAGGGCCCGAGCACAGCCGAGGAGTGCCGAAGCGGTGCCCAACCTGTCAGCGGCGGGTTGACATGCCCGGTTGTAAAGGCAACACAGCGGGGTTCAGTTTGCGTAGTCCATCTACTTAATAGTCCTTGATTCACTCACTGTGGAAAATATTTTTGTAGACTTTTATTTTATTTTTGAAAAAAAAAATTATTGCGAAAACTACGAGGGGTCGTCAACTCCCTTCGGCCGTGTACGGAGGAATATATATTACAAGTAATATGTGTAATATCGGTAATATTGATGTATTATTGTGTAATGTCAGTATTATCAAGTAATATCAAGTAATATTATGTAATATCATGTACTATCAAGTAATATTACGTAATATCAAGTAATATTTCGTAATATATCAAGTAATACACTGCCGCTCGAAATTAGCGGCGCACTTTTTTGAGCCGGCGTATTTTCTAAGTGTTTTGAGCTAGAATGTCGAGATTTGGCCTGTAGACGTCTCATTGGTTC